TTCCCATTTCATAGAGAAGGAAACGAAGGCTCAGAGAGATTGGCTGACTTGCCCAAGATTGCACAGCCAGCAAATTGTGAACTAGAAGTGGGAGTTTGGTCTGTTTGATTAGAGATGAGAGAATGAGTTCTCCCCACACAGGTATGATGGAAACGAGAATTTATATAAAAAAAGAATGGTGATCTTTTACCAGTATTGTTTCTGTATGCTATGTTCTGGGTGTAGACACATTAGGAGGTGTGCGTTGGGAGCGGGCATCACAGCTTGTTAGGTGTTTGCACATGGCTAACGAGAAGGGTGGTGGGGGGGTGCTGGCTTGATGTGGCAGCTTGGCTGAGTTGGGCCAAGCTGCTGCTCACAAGAATGAGGTCCCAGGTTTGAGTCCCTCCACCTCCATCCACTCACCTGCCTCCCAAGTGTTATTTGTTTATTTAGAGACAGGATCCCATTATGTTGCCCAGACTGGCTTTGAACTCCTGGTCTCAAGTGATCCTCCTGCCTGAGCCTCCCAAATAGTAGAGACTACAGGTGCACATCACAGTGCTGGGCTTCCTCCCAGATGTATTGAACTCAGTCATAAATGAGTCTAGCTGAGAGTGTAGACAGTGCATCGAGGACTCAGCAGCTCCTCTGGGGATGTGATTCTAGGGCACAGGAAGGGCCGAAGGTCCTTGTGACCCCTCAAAGGCCGTCTTCATTATACCAACAATATGAACCACAGTCTCTTCTGTTCCCCCTCACCAAGGTCTGTCATCCCTATCTCTGTGCTCTTATTCTTGACATTCCCTCTACTGGCTGCCTTCCCCTCGCTGAGTCCTGTACTCGGCCTCAGTCATGTGCATGAAACAGGAGTGCATGCTGGCTGAGTCACCTGCCTGCATGGCACTCCCTAGCATTCCCCTTGCCCCAGGTCTTTCTGAGTAGGGCAGACACCAGAGAGCCTTGCGGGAGGTGTGAAGGGCCGAGTGAAGCAGCCACTTTGTAGCTCACACACCTTGTCCTTTAGCTGCTGGCTGTTTGTGTGAGGCTACTGCCCCACTACCCATTGGAAATATCTACAGCTCCTCTGCCTCCTGGCCAGATGAGTGAGCTTCATTCTGTGATGAAGGACCCTATCTTGTGTAGAAAACCCTCACTATCAAGGTCAGAGCAATAAAACCGACAGGAGTCTTAGTCCAACCTGGTGTAATTCCAACTCGGGCTTGAGGGTCCTGGCTTAGCCTTGTTCTCCCTCACTCCATCTCCCCTCCTTACCTCCTGCCTTGAAGACATGGAGATATAGCACTAGGTACAAATACCCTTGCCTTACGGAGACAGACTGATCAGCTCCCACAATAGCAGAAGGTCAAGTGTCTGTAACAAATCCCTTATTATTTATATATCCTAGCAGCTTTACTTTTCTTACTGAACTGGAATTGAGGTAACAACATGGCTGGTGGTTGATGGTGGCCTGTGACTCCTATCCATCCTTTGGAGCCCAGCTCAAGTCTCATCTCCGCCAGGAAGTTTTCCCAGACCCCAGCAGTCATCAGTGGTCTCCTCTGGCTCTGAGCTATTATGGCACTTCTGCCTGTCCTGCCTTAGGTTCTAAGTTATCTTTTCACTCATGAGTATCTTCTCGTTCTAGGTCAAAATTTCCTGCACTTCACAGATACAGATCTCTAGTCCTTCCTGAAGATTCTGATTCTGTGAGCCTCCACTTAGAATAATATGGTGACCAAAAAGTGTGAGGAATTCAGCCCCAAGTAAACTGTGAGCCCTAAGAAGACAGGAACCAAGTTTCTGTTTTATATGACAGGGACTGCTCATATCCAGCAATAATCGTAGATTTGAAAGTGGAGGGTACCCAAGCAGCGTTTTATGGGATGACATCCTGGCTTATAATTCCCATTAAGTGAGATCTCTCAGGTGTTTTCTTTCTTCTTGCAGGGAGGGCAACAGAGGATGAAACCCCAAGCAGTCAGGTGCTGGGGACATCATTCATCCTGATGATCCCGGTGGGGTTAATTCCTGTCATGTCTCCCACACTCTGATCAAGCCACCCTAGGACTCCTTCTCCTCTATTGCGTTGGAAAGAGGACTATTCTTGCCAACTACCCAGGAGTTACCTCCTTCTCCCAATCCCTTATTCCTTTTGGCTTTGACTCCTCCACCTCCCAATCTCCCAGCATGGTTGAACACATCTGTTTCCTAATCAAAACACAGGCAGATTCCTCATGCTGGGCCTTAGTTTGCTGAACTTGCACATAATTGAGACAGATTATATGTGTTTTCCAGCTAGTCACTTACTGTTTCGGGGGTGATCCTGGGCTGGCTCAGGCTGTTTCTGGTCAGAGCCCCCACCTGCTTCCTGTGCAGGAGGACAGGGCGCCCTGTATGCCTACTTCCTTCTAGGATCTAATAATAGAGAATGCAGGCGGATGCCTGGTGCAGAAGGGAAGGAGAAATACTGTTCTGCAGATATGTGTGCCAGGGAGGAGGTGATGGGCAGTAGTGTGGACTGTCCAGTGGGCAGATCTAAGGAAAGAGAGTTTTTACCTGAGTCTTCAAGGAAAGCCAGAATCAGGGCCCTGAATCCACTCAAGGACAAAGGAACAGCTAAAGCTTTTACATTCCAAATTGAACTCTCAGAAGTAGCTGGAACTGAGTGACTCCTACCAGAAACCAACTCTGGAGCAGTTGCCATGCTAGAAGCCTAATCAACTCCAGGAGTGGGGTGTTGTGTGTCCCACTTCATGGAAATCATACTTGCAAAAACTGAATCAGAAACGACAAACTCTGACCAAGAGGGTCATCGTGAACAATGGGAACATCAGGAATATCTCTTTAAAGAGAACCCCTAACACACGCCTGGTATCTGTGAGCTTACCAGAGTTGCATTTGCACAATCACTTTAGGGATGTACACCTAATATGAAGTACATCTGTCAATCAGAGTACAGAGAGGCTTCTTGGTGAGGGAGAGGAAGTGGATAGGGGGTCATGGAGCCTGGTTCTGCCACTTTCTCACTGAGAGACCTCAAGCAAATCAGTCTCCCTCCAGGCCTCTGACTCCCATTGGACAGAGGGTAGGATTGGATTAGATGATCTCTAAGGGCACTTTGGCTTTCACATTTTCCGCAGGTGAGAAGGAAGAAGGACGGAGCTTCATGCAGGCCCTACTGTATTGCAGACGCTCATTTGACCCAATGCCTCGGTAACCCCAAGAGGAAGTGATGCTTAAACGGTTAAGCAACGTGTCCAAGGTAAGAAAGTGTCAGGGCCAGTGAGTGCCCTTACCACACCCCCATAGGAGATGGCAGGTCAATTCAAACCAGAGCCTCGCTGAGCTGTGTGTGTGTGTATGTGGGCATGCGTGTGTGTGTACCTGTGTATGTGTGTGCGTGTGTGTGTGTGTGTGTGTGTGTGGTTTCTGGCTGTGATCCTGTAGGACAGGGTAGGCAGGGAGCCAGTGGGCTCACGGTACTGCTTCCGTTTTAAATTGAGACAAGGCTCGGGACCCTCATGTGGGCTTCCTGTGGGGAAAAAGGAGTCCAATCCATTTAATTAACACCCCACAAGACACCTGGAACTCTCCCTCCAGCCAGAGCACCAGCAACCCTGATAGCAACTGGGCTACCCCATCACAAACCTTTAAGCAATTCATTTTCTACACTTATAATAAATAAGTCAATAAAAAAGATGTTCGACATAATTCCCCCAGAGAATAGAAGAAAGAAGCAGCATGAATTGGAAGCTCCTATTATCTTCTGTTGTCTTGTCTCTGATGACAGATAATGGCGGCTGTTGAGGGCGATTGGCTGGCGGGGAGAATAATGCTTGGGTAAAGGTGGCCTTTAGAATGTAACATCCCGAATCCAACTCAAAAAGGGAGGGAAAAAGAAAAAGACAAGGCAAGGCTAGCCATGCTGCTCTGTTCGGGCCTCCCTTCCCCCAACATCTAGCAAGTTGCAGCCCCTTTTACTATTAGAAACCATTGCATGCATCACCCTATTTGTTGCTGCTTTCCCCCGTGCCTTCAGAGAGCTGATTAATTGGTCCAATACCAGCAGCTTGTCACGAAGGTCTTAATTAAGAAAGAAATAGCCACCTCGTGAATTCCCTGGGAATCAGTAGCCCTGGGGATGTCTCTTCTGCCTGCTGCCCAGGAGATGGTGAGGAAAAGAGAACAGAGGCAGGTTCCGAATCAATGGGATTAAAATACTGGAGGCAGTAAGAGGGCCCAGTGGCCAGGAAACTCCACGACAGTTCAGGAGGAAAGAATAATAGAGAGTTTGGCCAGATGAGTCAGCCTCCAAAGCTGAATCCGACTGGCTGGGGGCTCCCACAAGGGGAGTGAACTTGGGGGACATCTTGGGTTTGGACTGAATTTTTAAGATTTGCTTTACAGATGACAGTTAAAAGTATAACGATTATTTTCAACCCTGACTGCCTAGCAGGGGAGCTTTTAAAATACAATGATGCCCAAGCCCCGCTGCACTCCAATTAGAATCTCCAGGCCATAGGAACAAAACACTGATGTATTTTAAGAACTCCCTGGCTGATTCTATGGTGCACCTGGGGCTGAGAACTACTTGTCCCAAGGATGGTACAGAGCCCGTTTCTTCTCCACGTGTGCCCCCTGGGCCAGTGACATCAGCAGCAACATCACCTGAAAGCTTGTCAGAACTGCCAAATCTCAGAAGCCACCCCAGAACTACTCAAGTAGAATCTGCAAGATCCCTAGCTCACTCTCATTCACATCAAAGTTTGAGAAGCAATAGTTTAGATAGCAGATTGTTTGGGGTTTTATTTGGACTCCGGCATCAAGGTACATTACTCAACTTCCCTGAAACTCAGTTTCACTGTATGTAAAACGGGAGTAATGATATGTATATGCCACCGTTAACAAGAGAAGAAAACAGAATCATTTCTGCAAAGCACTTAACACAGTGCTTAGAACAGATGCTTTTCAATAGACACGTGTGGTTCCTTTCCCTTCCACATGAGGATTAAATGAGATACATCATGTAAGGCATTTAATAGGGTGCTGGCTTGTGCTGTGTGCTTAATAAATGTGGGCTATTAATATTTTCTCAAGTATTCCTTAGGTAGTCAGAGGGACTTCTGCCTCTGTGCTTCTCTGGCTTGCTACTCATCCATCTCTTCCAGCCCTTAGAGTATTGAATTTCAATAAGCCATTCATATGCCTCTCAATGCTGCTGGGTGTTATTCAGCTCACTTCCCTGGGCCTAGCACAGAGTATGTCCCGGAAATACTAAATGTGAAGGTTGTAAAGCATCCCTTAGCTAGAGAACAGAGAGGCTGGGAGATCACATGCCTGGGGCTTCCAAGTCCTTAGATGTCCTTTTTCTTGGCTCTTGGGGTAAGAATGAAGCTCTCTGAAGAAGGAGGAAGGGGCCCCTTCCAGTGTCTGTGGTGAAGAGCAGGTAACAAAATATGTCATGGAACATTCTGTGTGTTGAGTCACTTTCAACCAACACAGAAAGCCTAAATGCTTTGTAGACCTAATTAGACTGAGATTCTAGAAAAATAAAACCAACTTTGAGATTGTCTATAGACTTTCTTTATTCCCATCATGCTCATGCTGGGAAAAAAAAAGAGAGAGAGGTCAGTCCCCTTTGGCTATTATGCCCCATGGAAAGCAAAGGGAAGGCTTGGCAGATGGCAGCAATGCTCTCCTAATTCATGGGTCACCCTGGAGCTATCCACAGACAGTGCCAGCCCTTTTAATGAAACTACTTAATTGGCGTGAACACGGGTGAGTGTACAGGTCACCTTTGCTCAGGTCAGGGGCTCAGAGGGGAGCATGAGGCCTCTTGGTTGCATTAACCACTTTTTTCAAGAAGACTATGTTGCTACCAGGCTCAGGAGAGAGAGCGTTAGAACCTAAAATACTAATAAACAGGTCATAGTCCTCCCTAGGGAGCCAGAGGTGGGCCAGCTTTGCCAGATCATGCAGGACCAACCTTGCAGGTACCAAGGGGTGAGAGGTTCCTCTCATAGCTTTAATAAAAGCCAATCATTTCTATAGTTTATACATTCACTCATTTAGTAAAAGGTTTTCGAGTCCCTGTTCTGTGTTAGGTATATAAAGTCCTTTTCTGTACATTGTTCTGGTTGATTTCATTTAATTAGAGAAGAACTTTCTGGGTTAGCTACTATCTTCTCATTTTACCTATAGATGAGGAGAGACTTAAATAAGTTAAAGAAAGAAATCTTTAACTTATTTTTATTTATTAAAAATTAATAATTTTAAACTTAATTTATTAACTTATTAGTTAACTTAGCTCAAAATCGCACAGCTTGACAGCATTTGCACCATAGACTGTCTGATTCAGGCCTTGATCAGTAGAAAGAGTTTAGAGGCATGGCTTCCTGGTTTTTTAAGGCAAACATTCCAGAAAGGCCTAGGAAAAGGTTATGGAACTCCTGGCAGGACCAGGTGCCACCAAGAGGTAGGGTGCTTTGTTTCTGTAGTCTTGGGGTACATAAAACTGGGCAGGGGGCAGTGGGTGGTGGTTGCACCAAATCTGAGCTGCCTTTATCTGTGCCGACCTGACATCTTGAGCAGACCAAGCCCCAGGCAGAAAGAGTGCTGGACAGTCAAGACACGTGGGCCTCCGTCCTCTCTGCTTCCTGAGAGACGTTCGACCTTGCAGAGGTCCTTGGCTCTTGCCATCTGGGGGTTTAGGGCCAGATGGCTGCCCAGGTCTCTCAGAATTAGGTTGGCCTGATTCCTTGAGCTGTGGGGTTGGTGATCCTGGAGTCACTGCTAAAAATTCTGCAAATCGCAGGGAAGCCAATGTTTAAAGACTTCCGCATTGCACTTGTGGCTGTACATAACCACACACCTCCCACTGGGTCATGAGTCCTAGCACTCATCCCACTGCCAAGGAGAGAGGCCCTTCTTTCCTCCATCCTCTATGTCCCCAACTCCCAGCTTCTTTTTCTATGGCCTGGGGGTGCTGATAACCTGTCTCAAGTTTCCGACGGTGAGGTGCTCGGAGTTGAGAAGTGTTTCCCTGACTGCCTCGTGAGCAGGAATGATCACACTGTGTGCCCAGCCCTTTGGTCTCCCCTCAGCATCCCACTCAGTTTTCCAGGTGAGGACAAGGGCCACATGGAAAAGGAAAAGACATTATAATGGAAGGGATGCCCAAAAGGACTGTGTATGGAAGGGGTTGAGAGATCACACTGGACACTTTCAGGTCTTTTTAATTGGCCATCTGTTCTTCACTTTCTTCTTGCTTCCAGGGAGGTGAGTCTATGTCTGTGCCTGGATGCAGTGAAAGCAGCTGGAGCTAACACCCAGCCTATTCTTCAGCCAGAGGGGTGAGGCCGAGTCCACTAAGCTCACATATCCACAGCTTGCCCTCAGCAAGCGCCTGATGCCTAACCAACCTCATCCATGAAGCCAAGGGTCACTCATTCATTCATTCGTCAAACCCATTTCCTAAGCATCTCCTAGGTATCAGGCACTGTGCCAGGCTGTGGGAACGCAGAAAAGGACATGATCCACATGGTCCCAGCTCACAGAACTTACAATCTTGTGCCAGAAATGACTAAATAATGACACAAATAATTATAAAATAAAATTGCAGGAAGTGCTGCATGTGTCAGCTCCTGACTTTCCTTCTGCTTCCAGGACTGGGTCTGATTAAAAGTGAGGCTGCTATGATGGGCCACTAGAAGATGTGGGAGGTGAAATCCAGTCCTAAATCTCCTCTCACCCTCTGACTCTTGGGACAGCAGAGCAAGTGAATAGGAAAGAAAAAGAAGCTGCTATAAAAAGGTGGCTTGGAGCTGGAAGGTGCTAGTGCAACGGATGGGGGGAAACACATAAACTGTCATTTCCATCTCTTCCACGTCACTGACGTTGGTCCTCTTGACCCTGTCTCAGCTCAGACCTTCATCATCCTTTCCCCAGATGATTGTGGCAGCCTTCTGTCTCCAGTCTTGCCTGTCGCCCAGCCCAAGATAGCCTCGATAGAAGTCTGCAGAGAACCTCTCCTCTTTCTGCTGAAAGCAGGATTTCTCAGCCTTGGCACTGGTGATAATTTCGGGCTAGATAACTGTTTGTTGGCTGGGGCTCTCCTGTGCACTGTAGGATGTTTAGCAGCATCCTTATTAGTAATGACAACCAAAAATATGTCTGAAGATTTCCATATGCCCCCTAAAAGGCAAAATCACCCCTCCTGGGGTGATTTGAGAACTACTGGCTCAAAGATATTATGCCCCTGAGTTTAATATTTAAGGATCTCCACGATCTGATTCTAAGCTGTGTTTCAGACAGAGCAGGGTGGCTCATGACTGTAATCCTAGGACTCTGGGAGGCCGAGGTGGGTGGATCACCTGAGGTCAGGAGTTCAAGACCAGCCTGGCCAACATGGCGAAACCTCGTCTCTACCAAAAACACAAAAATTAGCCTGGTATGCTGGCATGCACCTGTAATCCCAGCTACTCAGGAGGCTGAAGCAGGAGAATCACTTGAGTCCAGGAGGTGAAGGTGGCAGTGAGCCAAGATCATGCTATTGCACTCCAGCCTGGGTGACAGAGGGAGACTCCATGAAAAAAAAAAAGAAGAAAGAAAGAAAAGAAAAGAAAAGAAGCTGTATATCAGTATGCTCTTCCTCTGTTCTGTCTCTCACATCCTATTATGTAGCCATAATCAACTACATGAAATTTCCTTAAAGTGCCCTACCCTTTTCATCTTGCCTTTGGCAATTCTGTTTTCTTGGTTTAGAGGGCCATGACACCTTCTCTGTCTATTTAAAAAAAAAAAAAATACTTGTGTCACAAGATTCAAATAAAAGGCCTTGTCTGAGAAGCTTTTCCAGATTTCTAGAATTTAGTTATCTTACCTGTCAAGTAAGGATAAAAAGTCTGTCCTATGGATTGCCCAGAATCATAAAATTTCAGGGCCATAGGAGACCTTGGGAATCACTTATGTCTTCTTTCAGAAAGACAGACGGAAATGCGAAGAATTGAAGTGTCTTACAAAAGTCATAGCCAGACGGAGAATAAGCTGGGCCTAGAACTTGGTATTCTAAATTCCGAGATCAATTTTCTAAACCCACTTGTCAGCCTTTGCAAGATGAAGGCACTATCTAATCAACAGGAAAGTTAGCTTTGTGGCCACAAGGTCACAAAACCTCTCTGTACCTCAATGTTTCTCTGTAAGGTGAGGGGCTAAACCAGCTGTTCCCTAAAAATCATTCCAGGCTGCTTTGTGCCATTATGACTCTAATTTTCTTTTGAGAAGATTGTCATTTAATCATAAGGTATTCTCATGGGGAACTATTCTTAATAATTCCCAGTCCATCTCATTGTGGGGGCTGGAAATATCTGCCCTTGCTCACACCGTCAAAATTGAACCCCAGAGCTCAGCTCCCAAGAAGGTTAACATAATGGTTTTGCTACTCATCATAACAACACCTCACATCATGCTTCAGATCACTCCCCAGCATCATTCTTCAAATTCAAACGCGAACCAGAAGTGACAAATGATTCTTGTAATGCGCTCTTTGACACAAATCATTTCTGATTGCTTGGGACCCCGGACAACCTTGAGCATGCAGAATCAAGCTGAGAGGGAGAAGTCTTGGAAAATGAACAGCTTCAACTTCTTGCCGACAAGAACCCTCTGCTCAAGAGGCAGCAGCAGTATGTGCTGATTGCCAAACAGATCATTTTTTAAATGATGCAGATCTGTGGGGGATTGGTCTGTTTGGTGATGTGTCTCATCTTGCAATGTCCTATGCAGCCTTCAAAGTGTTTTTAGATAATGGCAAGGAAACAGACAGTCAAGTGTGCAGGGTTTGCTTCTGCATATGATGCTATTGTTATCCATCACCCCATAAAGGAGGAAAGGGAGCCTCAAAGAATTCCTAGAACACTGCCAAGTGACCTAACATGTTGCTGTTAGATCTGAGACTAGAATTCAGGTCCTGTGGCTCCAAAGCCAGTGCTCTATACCAAGGGTTACCTCTAAGGTATAAATTCCTTTCAAAGTGCTCTTATTATTTGGCCTCATTCTCTGTGGATTGTAGATGAATGCTTAGAATTGAGGAAGGAAGTGAATATTAATGTGAGGTGGGCTAATCTGGAAAATGAGGAGGTTTGGAAGGGATCACAAATAATATTCCTGGTTCAAATGCATTGAGAGTGGCAGGCCGGTCTAAGTGCATTAGGAGTATCATTTCCTTTCCTTTTCTTGGCAGCTCAGAAATCCTATGGGAAAAGTATTAGGATTGTTCCCATGTTTCAGGGATAAAACTGAAACTCAGAGTAGTTAAGCAACTTGCCCAAGGCAGAGGTGGGGTGGGGCCAGAGGCAGAGATGAATGGCCATCCACCAAGGATTCCTGCTCCCCTGCAAAGACTAAAGTTGTGTAGGGATGTGGTTCCCTGGCCAAAACCTGTATTTCTTGGGTCCTCTGCATTAGAAGAGGCCATGTTGACCAGTTCTTAGCAATGGATATGGTGGGAATAAAAATGTCACTTCTTAGAGGAAGTGGTTATGAAGCTGATGTGCCTTCTTCTCTCTCTCTATCCCCTCCTGCCAATAGACATTAATCCCTAGACTGACTTCAGAAGCCATGTGTGGTGTGGAAATCTTACAAACTTTTTCTAGAATGCTTTTTAAAAACAGAACAAATAAAGATAACATTAAAATTTTAAAACAAAAGAAGAAGCCATGTGTTGAGGAGAGCAGTGTCTATCAGCACGGATCCCTGAATGACCACGTGAAACAGAGTTCCCACCTCTACTCCAGCGTCCCCACACACTGCTGATTGCACTTTGCATAAGAGAGACATCAACTTAAATTGGACTAAGTCGTTGAGATTTCAGGAGGTGTTTGATACGGCAGCCAACTTTTACCCTGACTAATACACAAGAGTCTTGTTTCCGAGGTGCATTCTCTTAACTGCTACACCACAAAGTGGCCATGGGATTGTTTAGATTTATGGAGATGGTAGAAAATTTTCTCCTTGTTTGCAAGCCCAAGAGCAAAAGTGTGGTGTTATTTCCCCCCCGTGAAGCCTGGGGAGTATACGGGAGTGAGGTTCATGTGCTTCTGAGCCCCTTCCAAAACTCACTGCTTCCTTGAGTCTTCTCATCTCAGTAAACGGCATGAGCATATACTCCACGGCTTGGCAATCATTTTGGATTTCTGTCTTTCCTTCGACTCCTGCATCCTAACTTTCAACAAGTCCTGTAGACTCTATCTTAAAAATAAATTCAGTAGGGTGCTGGAACTTGCGCAAGCTGACTTGTGAGAGCCAATGTCAAATTGTTAGAAATATTGCAAGCCAGCTGATGTCATGTTGAAAGTTTTAGGCAGCCTGTGGTGGGGATATTTACACGATGGAAATTGACAAGTGGTACAAACTGAGGTCACCCTGCTCCCAAGAGAGCAGGCTGTTAAATGCCCACTAACACACCCACTGAATATTTTCCAGGTTTCATCTTTGCTCACCACCTCCACTGCTACCACCCAAGTCACCTTATATTGCACATATGACTGTAGTAGGCTCCTAACTGGTTTTCCTGTAATTTTCTGCTCTTTTTCAGTTAACTCCTCACACAGTACCCAAAGTGATCTTTTAAAAGTGTAATTGAGGCCAGGTACAGTGGCTCATGCCTTTAATCCCAGCACTTTGGGAGGTCTAGGCAGGTGGATTACTTGAGTCAAGGAGTTCAAGACTAACCTGGGCAGCATGGCAAAACCCTGTCTCTATGAAAACTACGAAAAATTAACCAGGTGTGGCAGCACGCACCTGTAGTTCCAGCTACTCAGAGGAAGCTGGTGGGGGGTGTGGCTGAGGTAGAAGAATCACCTGAGCCTGGGGATATTGAGGCTACAATGAACCATGATCACACCATTGCACTCCAGCCTAGACAACAGAGCAAGACCTTGTCTCAAAAAATTAAAAATAAATAAATAAATAAGTAAAAATGTAAGTGACACCACATCACTTTCCTGCCCAGGCTTCTCTGGGCCTCTCCATTGCCCTTAGAGTAAAATTGAAACTTCTTCCTATAGTTTATGAGACTCTACACATCTGGCAGTTGCCCACCTTTCTGACTCAGCCTCTGCCACTCCTCTCTCACTCATTGCTCTGCAGCTGGGGTGGTGGTGCTTCTGTTCCACAAACATTGTGAGCTTGTCCTGGTATCAAGGTCTCTGTGTTTGCTGATCCCTTTGCCTCAAATGCTCTTCCCCTTGATCTTCATATAGTTTGCTGTTCCACATCATATAGGTCTTTGCTAAAATATCGCCTCCTCCTAGAGGCCTTCTCTGAGCTATCAGAAATAATCACCTCCCACCCACCCTGCCATGGCATATATTTCCTGAAGTTATGTTATGCATATGTTCACTTGTTCAGACGTGAAATCTGCTGCTTCTATTGAAATGCACTTTCTGAGGGTGGGAATCTTTCTTTGTTCACTGTATTTGCAGTGCTTGAACAGGTGTCTGGCCCCAGAAGATGCTCAATATACATACTGCTAAATGGACAAATACATATCTGATTGTCAATATGACATGATTGAATGTAGCCAGGTCAAGTCAGCAGATGCTCAGATTATAATGTGGGCGGAGGTTCTGGGAGGCAGGGCCTGCAGGATAGTTGGAAAGTTGGATAGGCTGACTGTGTCCAAGGACCATAGAGCAAAGGGGGAAACCAAAGGAATAATCTAAACAGAGCAGAAAGTTTAAAAGAGAACCTGGAGGAAGAACGTAAGCTGAGCCTCAGGCCAGCATCTGTCAATGAAGCATCACTGTGTGTGTAGGAGGGGCAATAGGAACAGAATCTGGATAGATTTAACTAAAGCCTCTTTGTCTGGGCATCAAAGAAAGCTAGTCCCTATCTATAACTCTGTAGCTTTGTGACTTCAGGGAAATTACTTAAGCTCTCTGGTTCTCAGTTTTCTTTGTAGAAAAGGGTTAATGATAACCTCCTATGGCTGGTGGGGGCACTAAAGGAATAGAAGATTAAAAGCCTGGAGTAAAATGCTTGGCATGCAGTAAGTGCTTAATAAATGCTTAGTAACTGCAAATTTCCATACTCATTTTAGTCTTCCCATCCGTAAATAATCACTCTTTTTATTGTCAATATTCTTTAGTTGGACCTTAGAGACAGGAGAGGCAGGGTATGGAAGCTACACGGGACTTAGAGGTGAAAACAGTGAAAGATTAGGTCTCATCACATGCCCCAGTAGGCAGAGTTGGGATGGCTAATGAGAAGAGGCTAGGAGGTATTTGTTGGAAATAAAAGCTTGGAGTCACACAGAAAATGAGCAAGCAAGGAAAGGATTTCTCAGCAGGGCAAACTTACTTCTGCAGAAGGGTGCTGCTCATAAGCCTGGCTGCCACAAGAGCACAAAGAACAAAGAAGAGTAGGGGTTTTTATTCCCAATGTGATTTCTGCCTCTGTCTGTGTCTTCCCCCATTGGTTGGGGTTGGACTGCACAATCTAAACAAGTCCCAACTGGTTAAACATTTAAACTTTTCTTAGGTAAGGTAGGTGTGTGATGGAGAGGAAAGGGAGGGGGGAAAGGGGTTGCCTATGAGGGACTAGAAAGCTAGCCTATTCATTCTCACATAAGGAGTGGAATGTGAACTGGGGCTGTGGCATGTCTAGGCATATTTAGACAGGTTAAGGCACAGCAAAGAGGGGGGTACTTGGAATTAAAGAATAAAGAACAGAGGAACTGGGCAAGCTGGCTGAAGATGAACCTAACTATATCTAACATACCAAAGCCTCCATATAGACATGGCCAGTGTGAGGACCTGGGGACAGTCTTCATTCACCATGGCATCCACAATGTGATTCCCCAGTTTGTTCTCTGGGGTGGCCTCTTCTACCTAGAGGCCTTTTTTACTGAGATGTACAGCACGTGGGAAAACACCAAGACTGAGGGGTATGCGGTAGAAGCTTAGCAACGTCACAAGGCCAGTGTCTGGCAAAGCCAGGATAGAAACCCATTTCCTCTGCCTCAGCCCAGCACTGTCTA